TTGGTCTTACAAGGAGTTTTACTGGTCTCTACCTCAACTGCGCCCCAAACTCAATAATCAAGGGGGTTGCGGTCTGGGGAGTTAAGTGGCCAGATGTAAGGGGTGATGTCGACGTGGAAAGTGACTAGATTCTACTGCTTGTGTGGAATGGTGCAGAGTCCTGTTACCAGATATAGGATCTTCCGGCACCCATACTTTTGACACTGGGCAGCACTACCCCCTCAAGGTACTTGATGTAGCCCTCAGTATTGAGTCTGAGACCATGTGGGAAGATGAATGGAGACATAACATCGTCGCACTAGCGATAACCTCCAAACACCTTCGTAATCACCATTAGACTCATCCAACTCTTTCTGAGCCCTCTGCGCTGCCTTATATTGACGCCCAAACACTCTGAAATATTCGTATTGGAGCTTCCAGTGCGAATGCCAAGCAGTACAGCATACCGTTTTCAAACTTTTTGTGGGATGAATTGCATCATGTGCTCTTTTTCTTATAAATGGTGCCCAACTGACCCTAATATATTGTGCAGTCGACAAAATAAAAAAATAAACAACGCTCATGCGCAAAAGTAAAAATATAAAATGGCGATAATTTACCCATCGCACCATGTATTATGAATCTTTCTAGTTGAATTGTTCACCTATATTGCATATGAGTCATTATTGTACATAATTAGGTTACAATATTTTGTATTTTATATGTATAATACTTTATAAAAATTGAGATGTAGCAAAATGGGAGGCCCCGTATCATAGATTCGGTGGTAGGAGCCCATGAGTGACATACACCAGTTCTGAATCAACATTTTAATTGTATTATTATTATATCAGCACTAGTGATCACTCTAAACGCCTTTATAATCCCCATTAGACTCATCCAACTCTTTCTGCACCCTCTGCGCTGCCTCATGTTTCATTTTAGTTAAATTTTTCATCTATATTGCATATGAGTCATTATTGTACATAATTAGGTTACAATAAATTTGTATTTTATATGTTTAATACCTTATAAAAATTGAGATGTATTAGAATGGATTCATGTTTGGGGCACAATACACTTACCCCGGCCCTTCTCACATATACAAAGTTTTACATATGAAATTTTATTGAGGCTAGTTCTTATTAACCATCTGGTTAGATTATAGTCGTAGAATACATTTTATGTTTTTTTTTCTATTAATAAATGTTTTTTAAACACTCTCCCCAAGAAAGAGTATAATAAAGAAATCTAGTCTATTGCATTAGTTATTTTTTTATTTACCATTTAATTATTTTTATATAATTTTGAAATTATATTAGCTTTGAAAATAATGAAACGTTGATATCAACTCTCAGTAATAGTCTTGCTCTTATTAATAGAAAGTATACTTTCATTGTTATATCTGTTTATATATCTAAACACTGGATAGCAATTACCTATTTTGATACACCTTTCCCTCATTTTCAAAATTGTGACTTTTGCTCATAAGCCAAACACTAACTTTAACCCTTGATATCCCATAAAATGACCGCTTTACAAAGCCCCTACTTGTTCGTGTTAAGCAAATGAACAAAGACATACCTTTTTTTAATTTATTGCTCTCCTGCGTTGGAGTTTCATTTACTTTGTATTCGCTGCAAGCCAGCTATCAATTATTATAATGTCTTCTTGGTACGCAGTGTTTTGATCCCGTGTCGAATATCATGAACAGACGTTGAATACAAAAGAACACTCATCTTCATAGTGGAAACTCAATCTTTAAGAATGCTATAAAATATAGACTAAACAAAGTAATACTAATGAACACGCCATCAAAAGAGTTTTCGACTACAAAATTTTAATGAACTGTTGATATATAACCTTGGAAATACTTGATTAAATTTTTTTTTAGCAATATGTAGGAATTTTTAACAGTTGAGTATGTGTCTGTGCTCTGTAGTGATAGTGGAATGAACAAAATCCAAGACTCGAAATAACTGTATAACAGCTTTTATTTGTGGTTTAAAGATGGTGCAAAATAGTTGTATTCTGCCGCTTAAAAAAGAGTTGGATTTCCCCAGTTAACTAAGTTCTCGAGTAGATGTTTTGCAGATATATATATATATATATATATATATATATATATATATATATATATATATATATATATATATATTTTCACCGCTTGTTCTCGCGAAAGCTGAAAAATATGAGTGTGAAACTGCTAGGACTGGTACGAGCAGTAAGAGTCAAGTAGCCCTTCGAGCTGGGCCTTGAATATTTTGACTGCTGAAAAGGAAAAGTGCAAAAGAGCCGGTCTTGAAGGTAGAGGCCGCTGAAAAGGAAGATGGAAAAGAGGCCGGACAGGGCTCTGTCAGTGTTTTATGATTTCTAGGACTTCCGGTTGTACGCTGATGATTATTTCCGTGTCATTATTCATTACATCACCAGTACATCTAAGCTTATAACACCTAGTATTGCCAAGCGGTAACCCATCTAATTACTGACCAGGCTCGACGTTACTTAACTTTCAAAGCAATCTAGCCGTAAGCCTAATAGTTTTGAAATATACCACGTGGAAGTGGAAGATACAATTCGAGCAAGAAATAACCGTCCCTTGTAGAAATTGTTCCCAGTCTTGTGTGTGTGTGTGTGTGTGTGTGTGTGTGTGCTCGACAATGAGAGGTAAATGAACAAAATCCAGGACTCGAAACAACTGTTTAACAGCTTTTATTTGTGGTTGAAAGATGGTGCAAAATAGTTGTATTCTGCGGGGAAAAGAGTTGGGTTTCCCAGTTAACAAAGTTTTTGAGTAGATGTTTTGTAGAGACAGTTTTTCACCGCTTGTTCCCACGAAAAATCTGACTGTGAAACTGCTAGGACTGGTACGAGTCTTCTACAGCAAGTTCTGTGTGTATTTTTTCCTTTCGGTAGGTATGTTGAAGGGAAAAATGTCTGTCTGTTTCCGTGAGGAACAAGAAATCTAAGAGTCAAGCTGCCACGACAGGCCTCGTGTCTTCTGCAGCAAGACCTAAGTAGCACTTCAAGCTGAGCCTTGAAGTAGCGACTGCCGAAAATGAAAAGTGAAAAAAGAGAGCTTCGAGGTAGAGTCCGCTCAACAGGAAAGGTATAAAAAGCTGGCCTTGAAGGTAGAGGCCGCTGAAAAGAGTTAGTATTGCGTTTAAATTTAAATCTAAATGGTATTGAGTTTAAATTTCAATTCAAATTTAGATAGTCGAGGTACCAAAGAGGAAAACTTATCAGAGCAATTTATAAAGAGCAGAATAAATTCCAAAAGGAGCCTAACATCTGTAATTCTCAACTCAAAAATACAGATAAAGTTATTAAAAAGGATGCTAGGATATAAGGGTAAAAAAAGTTAGGACTAAAACTTAGCCAATATGTGTTTAATAATAGCATATTTAGATAAATACAAAACAATGGCTGAAATAGTGTAGGATTAAAATTAGATACAGAGGTATTTATGATGTTAGCACAAGATCTAAGCCTATTAACGTCATTTTTTTAATTCAGTTCACCAGTCTGCTTATTTCTGTCAATTCTTTAATTGCGGTTCATTGTGGTGACATTTAAGGCAAAATAGTACAATGGCTGGCAAGTTCCTTTTGCACCGGTAATGCTGAGGTTATCTTGTCCCTCGTCTCATAAGAGGATTGGAAAGAGACGTTCCCCTTTACCGGTCTGGTCGAGAAACCCTTCCGATTACACTCACACAGTTTAATCGGCAGGTCGATTCCGTTGAGGGTTATGAACATCGTAGTGCCCATGGGATTTCTTAGAGTCATGTGTGAGAGTTGGATGTAGTCCGTGGCCAGTACAAGTCCATATTCTAATTCATCTGAATAAAGCAGCATTGACTGATTCGCTGCAAAGTTACTATCACCACTGACGATACACCCCAAAGGCACACATAAAAACAATTGGTGGAATGATAATATATAAATTATGTGAGCAGAATTTTATGAATATTGAAGCCAAAAAAGAAAACACTATGAAAGTATAAAAATATATTTTTATATAAAAAAATTACCAGCAATACCTATTTATCGTAGAATTACCAACAACACAATGATAAAGCAAACTGACACACAATACATTTCATAGTAAAATTTACCAACAATGCATGTTATAGTAAAATGACCAACAATGTGTTTTATCTGTAGTTGAAGGCATATAACTGTGTTCAAAATATGTAGATTTCAGCATTAAATAACCCATAGAGGTGTTGATATGCCTCTAAACAAAATCAAGCAAACAACGTCAGTGAAAAAACACATAGAACATTATAAGTTTGGGGGGTGTTTTTTTTTCTAGAAGATATGTCAGTATTACGGTGTTCCACACGCCCAAAAATGTTTTAACATCACCCCGAAATAATTATAGAAAGCCACAAAGTCAGTATTTTTTAGGAATTTACCATTCGTACTGACAGATAAATGACCAGATCTTAGCACCTGCTCGCTCTTTTGACAGCTCTAGCAGCTCAATGTCAGAAAAACTGACAACGCCTCAAAAACCAAACTGGTGACATTCCATCATAACTAAGCGGACACGGAATTTTTGCCTATCGCTATATGTGATGTCCCTGAGCCTTGATCACCAACAAGGACTTAAGCTCACCCCCAGACCTCAAATGGAACTCGTACATACGATCCATCGCTAAAGATGCTGGAAAAATGGTCGGTTCTCTGTAGCTGACACCTCCTGCTATCCTTTACCTTTATAAGGGCCAAATCAGCTCGAAAATGGAGTACTGCCGCCATATATGAGCAGGAATTGCTCAGTCTTCACGTTACAGTTACGGTAGAGTCCAAAAGCGCCTTTGCGCCCTTGTAGATGATGAATTATTTAAGCTCTACAACCTCTTTTCCACAAATGAAACGTTGCAAGCCACTCGCTATTTCCACAGAAAGTGCTCAGGCGAACTACATTACTTAGATCCACTAGTTCTAAACTTCACGGCTAACATCCATCATGTGACGCACATTGTAGCAGACCACTTTTGATCACTACATATTTACGGCAATATCACATGGAAATACCAGCTCTCGTATGATCATCGAAGTTAAACAACGTCGAACCTAGTCAGTACCTAGATGAGTAACCGCTTCGGAATAACAAGTGCTGTAAGCTTGGATGTATGGGTTTTATAATGGATAATGACTAGGAATTGGAAATTGGAGAGCAGAGTTCTAATTCCGGTCGAGTTCATTATATTTACTTTTTCAATCATTTCAATCCTAGCAAAGGGATAACGCCACTAGAAAGTAGGGGGTTATACGGAGCAAAAAGCATAAAACTTTAGCGAGGGGACATGAGGAAAAGTGCCATAAAGGAACAAAATTCAGGAAGTCAAAAGATGACGATTGATGCTCCATTAAATATTTAAAGATTGTAGGTTGCAGGGAAGCAAGCAATTGGAAGGGAGTTCCACAGGCAAGAAGTGCTACAAAAGAAACTATTAGAATATATTTGTAACTGTTGTATGTAGCTAGTTTAAAAAACAGTGAGACCTTAGTACTGCGCTTAAATTGAGTCGAGGCATTAAGGAGAACAGCTTAACAAAATAATTGTCATGAAAATATTTGTAGTAAAGACAGTGAAAGCCATATCAAGTTGAGATGCCAGGTCAGGGTTGATTAAAACCTAAAAAATCATATTTACGACCCATTCATTCGTTAAAATTTACTAATTCACCATAAAAATCTATCTGTAACCGTTCACTCCTATATACACCAAAGTACATCATACACACAGGGCTCCTACTAAAAAAACAAAAACAAAAAAAAAACAAACAAACCACATGACATAAAATTTAAATATGTACAATTGTGTATAAACATTGTGTAAAAATATATAGAACAATTCTATCAATGTTATGAAATAATGGATGCGGGGTAATAACCCCGAAAACAAACTGAAAAAAGAAAGATATTAGTAAGACCCGTCCACCCCTCAAAAATAAGAGTTGCCGCCGAATTCTATCTTCCGACAAAATCAAGAGGCTCTATATCTCATTATGGGCATTAGAAAATTAAAAATCTCACCCTGTCGAGATGAAAAGGGCAGGCGAAACAAAGTGGAGAGGTTGGGAATCTCGACTTGGATCATGGGGAGAAGCTGGGCGCAGTCCAGGAACGACACTTACTTTAACTAGCTACACAGAAAGAGTCTGTGTTAACGTGGGGAGAGCTCCGTTGTGACTTAGGTGGACTTAAAAAAGAAAACCAAGCCTAAAGCTGTTGACGCTAACCAGACTCGACATAGTTACCCATTTTCGCTGAAAACTGTCGATACCAAACGCTTAGCAGTCCGACCAAGCCCCCCCCCCGAAGATCGACCCTTTATCAGGCACCTAATAGCAAGCCGGAAGGGCTTGTCGCAGTTAATCCTGGCCCTGTAACTTTTTCGTACTGTTCAAGCGCGATTTCGGAAAACATCTTTCGCTATCCCAATGAAGCTTCGGATTTTAGTGTTACAATTCCCGTCGTTTGTTAAAACGGTTTGCAAATATTTAAATTTTTGTACTTGCTTGATTTTTGCACATCACCCCGCCCGACCCAAAATTTATAATTTGCATGTTGGGTTGTCCCTTTTTGCTAACAACCAGGCAGTCAGTTTTCTTGCAAACCTTTCTTCTCGCTTTTCTTCATTACCTTCTATCGGAGCTTTTGTAGTTGCACAAGTCCCCACTAGGGACAGTGATTCCACGTAGGGCCGGACAGCAAGCCCTGTTCCCCACCCGGGGAAAGAGAGGCTCTAATACCAAAGCGTAAAGTAGGGGCGACAGCAGGCAACCCCGACAAACCGACCGCACCACAGCATTAGTAGAGCGATACAAGAAGCTAATCCACCGGGAGAAGGCCAGGTCAAATCCGGCGGCCTGCAGAACACAAGCTCGGTACCGGTGGTTGATTGATCCAAATTGATCAGCGCGGTTTGCTCGTCATCTTTTACACCCTATACGTCCGTGTCGATGTCATAATAGATCATTCCATATTAAATAAATAAACAATGTCTTGCTGCAATTTTTAGCATCAATTTGAAATTTTTCTTGTTAAAAAGTTGAATAAATTTAAACATATTTAAAACAGTGCTTTTCTCAAGATCTAACATGTGCATATGTATTCACGACTTTATCACAGTCGAGGGTTCGAACACATTCATTTATACTATAAATTATTGCTAATCCTGATAAATTTTCATCTCTTATTGTAAATCGCTGATAATTTTTTATTAAGTTTTACTCTGCTGAAATTTCTTTCAGTCTCTGATGTAGTAATGCAATGCACAAGTTAGAGAAAGTATCAATTCAATGATTTCGAAAAATATAATCGAAAAAATCATGGAATGACGAAAATTTCTCCACCATCTATCTATCTATCTATCTATCTATCTATCTATCTATCTATCTATCAGGGAAATGTCTTGAGAGTGCCTTGATGGCAGATATTTTAATATCAAAGTGGGGATACCTAGTGCAAAAACTGCAAATAAATTCGGGTATGTATATATATATATATATATATATATATATATATATATATATTCATATGTATATATATATATATATATATATATATATATATATATATATATATATATATATATATATTCAAAATTCTAAAATATCCAGCAAACCCCGTTTCTGCATATTTAGTAGTACCAACATATCAAATTTATTCCGACGAAGTCCTGCAGTTTTAATATATATATATATATATATATATATATATATATATATATATATATATATATATATATGTATATATAATACTGACATTCAGCGATGACAACAGCATATTCTGGTGTGAATAGCTAGGGTGACTGCTTAGCCTGGTACTTGGGATGTAATTCACAATGCCACAAAGGATGCCCTCAGAAATAAGAAAGTTAGGCGCTTCAGCAATGAAAGATCTGAACTTATCCGAGTCAGTGTTGTAGATTCCGGTTTGAAATCCGGTACCAATAAATAACAAACGCCAGGAATGAATATACGAAAAAAAATATATTAACGTAATAATGCAAACTGGTAAAGCAGGTTAGTAGTTCCAGGAATACGGGTTAGTAGCAAAATATATATACAGTTTTGGTATGGAAGTATCACTGTATGAATTCTTACTGAGTCTACGTGCTCGTTAACTGTGACTCCTACAACGCTGTCACCGCACCCTCACTCTTCCGGTTACATACAACCTTTTACTCTGTCACTCTGGACTCGACTCAAATCCGTTCTCTCGGGTCTTCCCGTAGCAGTAGTATATGTATATACTGGGTGAGTCCATTTGTATAAAAAGGGGAGGACCCCTCAACAGTCAGCTTTGGGGTAAAAAACTGTCCCATGAAAATAGATATCAAAGGATGTCTGAGGTAACGCTTCGGTCAGTTCTGAATGTGGCATGAGTCTCACAACAGTATTTTCAGTAATAAAGATGAAAGTAGTGGTTACAGTGAGTGATGACTGCAGCACATTCAGGTGTATAGCTAGGCTGACTTTTTGGTCTTTGTTGGTATTTCTAAAAAGGGATAAAATTCCCAATGCCACAAAGGATGCTCCCAGAAAAAAAGACAGTCTTTTCTTGAAGAAACTTATGAGAGGAGCTTTGGCGATAAAAGTTCTGAAGCTATCTTTGATGATACCAGGGATAAAATTCTGGTAAACATTCGGTTATGTTTCATATCATAACTTTTGATTTTCTATTGTGGATATATTGAATTATTATTATTTTTTCAAGTCGGTTAATTTCCCACCTTCCCTCTACATGCTCATCAATAGAATACTGAAAATGTAGAAATATTGTAGGAACAGATATATTGAAATCTGAAGTGAAATCAGCACTGGAAAAATTGAATAGAAACAAAGCTGTATGTCCATATATAATCGTAATGGAGATGCTGACAGCTTTAGATGATTTTGGTTTGACAAGTTTGCAGTAACAATAAATAAAACATTCAGCAGTTATGATATATCGGAAAACCTAAGTAAATACATTTTATTAGCACTGCCTAAAAGACCAGGTGTAAACGAATGTGGACCCCATCCAACAATCAGCCTGATGAGCTATATAATAAAACTCATCATCTGAATTCTGATGTATACATAACGCAGCAGAACTATAACAGAAATCAGAAAAGAACGGAAAAGACACTGGAAAAAGGATTGTGATATGTATGCCCAGAAATAAACCAGAAAGATCTATATAGATGCAGAAGAATTTATACGTATGTTTTATAGATTATGTAAATGGCTTGATAAAGTACAACACACGCAACTATTGGAACTACGAGGTAAGCTTTAGTATATTTGGAAAGAAGGATATATCAGTAGAAAATGAATTCAGTTAATATACAAATATGGAAAGTGATGTAAGACAAGTATATGACTTCTCACAAGACTGATTCAAACTATACAGTGAGGTGGTTCTGAGTGTTTACAAGTTCTACCAGCATTCATTATTGGTAGCCACACTCTTAAGCATATAAGATATGCAGATGACGAAGTGTTTATAGCAGACACGGAAAGAAAACTACAAAAGCTCCGACAGAAGTTAATGAAGAAAAACGAGAAGAAACGGTTGCAAGAAAACCGACTGCTTGGTTGTTAGCAAAAAGGAATAACCAAAAAAGGAATAACCAAAAAAGGAATAACCAAAAAAGGAATAACCAAACATGCAAATTATAAATTGGGGGGCGGGGTACAAAAATCAAGCAAGTACAAAAATTTAAATATTTGCGAACCGTTTTAACAAACGGCGGGAATTGTAACACTAAAATCCGAAGCTTCATTGGGATAGCGAAAGATGTTTTCCAAAATCTAAGTAAAGTATTATGAAACAGGTAAATCTCTTTAGAAACAAAGAAAAGACAAGTGAACTATTATGATATATCAGTCCTCTAATATGGCTGTCACTGATGGATAATTTCCTCAGAAATGAAGAAGAGACTTAAAGCAACAATAATGTAGATCTAAAAAAGGATACTAAGAATGCTATTGATCGAACACATGAGCGACGAGGGAGTTTTAGAGAAAATGGAAACAAAAAAGATCCTTATACTTAACATGATGAAGAGACAGTTGAAATTTCTGGGGCACCTAATGAGGAAAGATGACTTGGAAATTTTTATACTCAC